TCGGCCCTATTAACAAGTAATCCAATTAATTAATTATCGAACACTTGTCAATTATTAATTGATAAATTTCATTTTTTTAGCTCTCATTTTGTTTATGACCCATTAGATTCCCAATCACAATATCTAACACGTGAATTATTATTTTGATTACCCATTTAATTTATCACCAATTAACATTCATCGTCCCAAGTTGGCATCTAGTAATGTGTCAGGACAATACATCTGATGGAAAATGTGATATGATAAAATCAAATTTATTCATTTACCGTGAAACTATAATCCTTTCGTCAATATGATCTGATCAATTATGAGATATAGATATGTGTCAATATCAATTATCGATTATATTTTTCATTCCACTTTTAAGTCAATGTAAGTCAAAAAATCATTTTTGATTTATGAGTACACCTTAACTACTGATTTCTTTATTCATTTAACTAAATGAAATGTAGATCGTAATCTTTTAATATCTAGGAGTGACGAATCATCTATTAATTCAAAATCTTCTTATGATTCTTCACAACGATGCCGTATTATTAACCCTTGACAGAGCAACATCCAAAATCACCAAAGTATAATTGTTCTCATATAAGGCATTGTGATGACCTCAAGCCAAATGACAAATTTCACTACCGAACGTTAGAAATTAATCATCGATACTCAGATGGTTATTCATGTGAATTTTTTTTCAACGGGTCTCCATTGTTTGATCTATGACATTGTTTGATCCATGACATTGTTTGATCCATTGTTTCAACAGGTCTCCATTGTTTGATCCAAGTGTTTATTTAAGTATCATTATACTTTAATTTGTGAGATCAGTTACTTACTTGATAAATAAGAAATGGTATACGTGATAGTCTATCGGTAATAACAATATTCATATCTCGTCATTACTTATGACCATGAATGATTTAAGATTCAGTCATAAGTAATTTGTATCTCATAATCACAACTCTTTGTAATTAACAATATGCCAAAACTTGAATTACGGACTCTATTATTTAATTTAATAGAGTATTAATTAAATAATAGACCTATTATAAAATTGCATCAATTATATATTAAAAGTGTTTATGTCCAAAGTTGATTGAATTTAGAGTATAATACTTGCAATACATATAGCATTATTGAATTTTCAAGGAATTATAATAGCGCATGGTGTAGAGGTAGTAAGAGGGGATTCGTTTCTTACTCTAATCTTTTCTAAGTACTTATCGGGGGAGTTGAGGCGAGGCAAGAAAAATTGTCGCCTCAGACCCAACTTCGAAATCTAGTCTTTTGTTCTTTTAATGCAAACTACGATCTCGAGACCAAAATTCTAAAGTTCATCTTGGGTCCCAAAAATTTTAGATCAGAATATTAACATGCTAGACCGTCTTGTTGATGGCAAAGTAGACGGTTTTATGCTAATAGGTAAATATGTCACAACATTAAAAGGTGATGAATGACGTTTCCAAAACATATTGAAAATCAAAAGCAATTTTCTCAAGATTTCTTCTCAAACCTTGCGACCGATTTTTGATATCAGACTTTGTGATCTTTTTATGACTAATTAAAAGTTTCACCCCATTTTTGCTCCAACCATCTTAGGCATTGTGCATGATTCAAAATTTTAATAGGGTCCTCGTAAAATATCTAGAAGAATATTTGGTATATTATATTCGAACATGACACTATATGATATAATAGATGTTTTACATGTGACTCGAATGATATAAAATAGTGTAACAATAAATTCATGTAATGTATATCTTTTTAAATATATGAAATTTCTCTAAAACCTAATTTTGTAAATTCGAGCAAAAATGAGCATTAACAACTTAGGAAGACACGTTCTCTTAGCATTTCTAGATCCAAGATGAAAATGTAAGCATTATTTTTCTTGCAACTATGTTAGTACTAACTTTCTCGATAAATAAGCTATGATAATAAAAAATGATAAATTAATAACTTAAAAGTAAATCTAATCTACTTTGAAGTAATATCGACCATGCTCGTAATTCAATAAAAATTGATAAACTAATAACTTAAATGTAAATTTAATTTACTTTCAATTACAATAGAACATATCTTAACTATTTTACTAATATCAGAGTTATAATAACTGAAGTGGGATTATTTGGTCCATTTGTAAATGAATCAATCAAGAATCATTCAGACCGTTAAATAACCGTTCCAATGGAAAATCGGAACCGGTTCAATATGAACCCATTTTTACCAAATTGATCCATAGCTAAAACACTTTTCATGTTTGCACAAGAAGAGATTACCAAATCGGAAGCGATGCAACTTGTATGGAAGGTTAGAACCTTGACCCCTACGACACTTGCCGAACCTTTCCAATTTATGTGAGCGAATACATTCAATCTTGGTAAAACGGCATAAAATAAAATGTATATTTGATCTTTATTTTAAAAATAGTTTCTAATCAGAATTACAGTCTAACAATGATTCACCGATTGAACCAATTATTCAATGACCCAAATATATATCCGAGTCAACGATGGAATCGATTCTAATAACTATGATAAATATACTAAACCGGTAAACCTCGTTGAGTTAACCATATATTAGAAAAAAAATGATTTTGAGACTTCCCACGTTAGATAAGCACAAAAAGGAGTTGAGTTTAGGTCCCCAATGTGTCTTTGAATTAGTTGAAGAGAACGATGATCTTCGTGTCCAATAAGGATGAAAAGCTACAAAATTAAACGAATTAGAAGACAGTTCAGTGGGGTTTTAATAGTTTTTAATGTTAGAAAAAGAGAGCTTTGATTAATTAATATTAATCTTCCAAAACTATGGGCGTAAAGCTGTCACGTTTCGACCGATCCTCGTGTATTTTGTCGTTACTATTTTCTTAATGAATTTTATATCTTAATTTTGAAATACACTCAAAACGAAAATGCTAAGCCTACTCGATTATGACTCCGACACAAATTTAAAATAAATGAAAAGCAAATTAAAGGGGCAAATCCACCAACTAATCAGTGGAGAGACAGCTCATTACCCCTTTAATTTTTATTTTTTTATTTAAAAAAAAATTGTTAACAATTATTAATAAAAGCCTTATATATCAAGTGAACGACGACTTCCACTTTCTAGCTAGGGTTACGGCGTGACTAACCATTAATAAAAGTATATTTTAAAGAATAGTCGAGTCAGATTTTAACTTTTTAATTGTTTCATTTTATAACTATAATTGAGATACATGATCTTTTTAGGTCGACTCTATCTGATACTTGTTTTGGTAGTGATTGCTATGAGTTGGATACAAAGGTGTCGATAGCCAAATTTTGTAGTATTTTATATATGAAAAAGGTTATTCTCGAATTGGTAAATATACACTATATTTGTTTGGAATTGACTATTTACTTTAGGCTTATGTTTAAAAGTTGTTCAATCCCTACCTTTTTTTATTTTCATTGAGCATCATTAGTGTTAAGAAAAAATGCGTCCAAAGAACAAATATATGCATGTTTGAAGAGAAAATGAAGTGAGTTTTGTTGAGCAACTTCTTTTATATTTACTTAGAGCCTTAGAGGTGGTTTAGACGAGGTAAAATATGTGTTCTTATTTATTATTTTATTTTTTGTTTCCTTGTTTGATGTCCATTCAAAAGTGTTTTTATTTTTTATTATTATTATTTTTGGAAAAAATTAGTTTTGAAATAGTAATTTTTTAGAGAACGTGTGATCAAAAAGTATAAAAAAAAATTTGGATTTACATGCAAAATATTTTTTATGAAAATGTATGATTGAAAATGAGTTTTAGGAAAAAATATTGTGAGTATAGTAAGACTATTTGTAATTGTTCACTACGTTAATCGGCTTACGTGGCATACACATGATATGTAGTTTTATGATGCATCAATGAATAGAAAACTACAATATTAATGTATCAAATAATCACCCGCGATATCAATGTCATATAGCGCAACTGTCTTAGTGAGCGACAGTGAATAACATTATTCTTTTGAATATTATAAATAAACATGAGCTTAGTGAAAATCTTAAAGGCTCATCGAAATTTTGAGGTGTTAGAATTATAAACGTGATGCCCGAATGAGTGTGGAGAGGTTTATGATCCGTTTGGTATGACTTTTGAATTGTCAAAATGAGTTTTTGAGGCTCAAAAGTTGCTTTTGGACTATTTGATTTATTTTATGCAAGTATTTTTGGTAATTAGAAGAGTTTTTAAAAGAAATTAGTCTAATTAATTTTCTTTAAAAATACTTTTGAAATTGGAAGTATTTTAAAAAATTAGTTTTCAAATAAAAATTAAGATAACTTCCTCCAAATACGCTTTTATAGAAAGCAAAAGTCATGCCCTTAATATCATTTTAACACTTTTAAATTATATTGAGTTGTCAAGATTGAAGATAATTAAGAGAACAACAGACATGGTCTCTATTTGAGTCCCATTTTGGTAATAAAATATATTTTAGAATAATTAATTTTTGAAAAATATATAGTTGAAAACGCGTTTTAAAGAAATGAGCTTTGGAAAAAATAAAGGCCAAACATAGACATGGAGTCATCAAAGACAACATATGTCTTTGTCCGGGCTCCATTAATTCTAAAATACAATTTTCTTTTTTATTTTTAACTACGTGTTCTCCAATAATAATATTACGCGTAGACCTAAAAGTCTTCATTATTTTTTGAACATACATTTAAAAAAAAAAAAAATACTATTTCAAAACTTATTTGGCTCAAACTAGCAACTTGTTTGGGAGCGATTTTTTGCCCCAAAAAATTGATTTTTTGATTGTTATTTCACTATTTCAATCGTCATATTTGACTTCTTCTCTCACAGGTAGACCTCACTCTTCTTTTAACGGTTAAAAAATCAATTCTCAAAATCGCTCCCAAACATCTCTAGGGCTGCTAATCGAGCAAAAGATCTGAAAATCTAGTTCTAGCACTGTAATCACATCCATCTACATTACATGGAAGAAATTCTTTTCTCGATTACCATTGGAAGAAGTATTACATTTTGGCGGGGAGGTGGGGGGATTTTTTATTACAGTATTCTGTTCCTCCACTGGAGACCATCATTATCTTATGCAATTGAAAATTCAAAAATTCCATTATGAATATTGAATTCGAGAAAAGTAAGCAAACCAACGAGTCAGAATACACAAATTCCTCCCTCTCTCTCCACTCTTCTCTTACAAATCACCAATAAAAAAAAACTATCTGCTTTCCCCAAATCGACGATGCCATCTTTGTTGTTGCCAATGTTGGGTCTCGTATCAATTATTATTTTAGCATATTTTTTAATCCCTTCAAGCAAATGGAGGGGTCCAAGAAACCACCTCTTCTTGCATTATATTATATACCTCTCTGCGCCTTAATGCCCGCAATCCCCTTTTCTCTTTATCTATTAACATACATGTTTTTATGTATACATGTCTTCTTTCTTCCTCTATTTATGCAGAATATGTACTGGGGCTGTTTATGATATGTTAGTGCAGTTGAGATGTTTGTATTAATGCTTCTTCGATAACTGGTCTTTTTGGCTTCCGGGGTAAACTTCTAATGCTTTCTCTGCTTGTAAATTTAGTGTATTTATGTGTAAATTGTTGTGCCTTTCTTACCCTGATGTTTTCTTTGATTAGTATGTTTCATATTTTAGAACTGTTTCATGTTTTAATTATATCAACTGAAAGACTTTTGCTTTTGAAAAACTAATTTTGTAGATCTTTAGTGTTCGTGGGCAATAACTCATTAGATTAGAGTAATCGTTTGCTTCTGGTAGTGATCATTTGCGATTATAGATTTGTTTTTCATGTTCTCCTTGATGTTCTGCTCAAGTTTTTCTTTAATATTGGTTTCATAGGAAAAAGAGGTATTTGATTATGAACTATGACTGCCCGTCATCCGCCTTGTTTTCATCATAGACAAAAGAGGGTTCAACACCTTCTCCGATTTTAAATGGGTTTTCTTATGTATGTACAGTGTGATAATTTTTGGGTTAAAGTCTATTGCCCTTTTGTTCATCGGAATGTATTGTTTTTAAAGTACTAAATGGTTTCTCTCGAGTCTTCATTCCTTGATGCAAAGATTTATAGTTGGATGTTGGAATTTCTATTATGAGGGGCATATGGTTTATAATTGCTCAATGATATTATTGTTTCATTTTCTTTTCTTTTGATTAGATGAATTTCAGAGGATTTTGGGAAACAAAAGAGGAACTTAAAGAAGAAGAAAAAATGGGAATTGTTGAAAATACTGATTGTTCAAAACGGAAAGATTGGTTTGATTTGAATTTCGGTTATGACGATTGGATTACTTTAGATAATTCTGACTCAAAGAAGGTGAGGATGTGGGAAACTGGCAATACATCAGATCAGAATGTATCCAATCCCTCTGGTAATGGCCGTACTGATGGTTTGTCGGGTGAAGAACCTCAGGATGCAGATTATTCTCACATATCACTTAGCTACGAGTTAGAGAATCTAATTTTTGCTAGGTTTCCAAAGTCACAGTATTGGAAGTTATGCTTTGTGAATAAAAGGTGTTTGACTCTCTTGAAAAGTGGTGAGCTTGACGAGATTAGAAAGAAAATTGGATTTAAAGAACCATCTGTTTTCATGCTAGCGACTGGGGAAGGTAATTGGTGGGTGTTTGATCGAGAATTTAGGTCCCGAAGAAAGCTTCCAGTTCTACCATCTGATCCCTGTTTTGCTTCTGGAGATAAAGAGACACTCTGTGCTGGTAGTCACCTTCTAGTTTCTGGCAGAGAAATTGATGGTCTTGTTATTTGGAGGTATGAATTGGAAGAGAATAAATGGTACAAGGGTCCATCTATGATTAGCCCGAGATGCTTGTTTGCGTCTGCAACTTGTGGTACCTTTGCTTATGTGGCCGGTGGGATGGGGATGGAGGCAAATAGTGAAGTCTACGATACTGGTGAAAAATATAATCCAGACAGTGGATCATGGGAACCACTTCCAAGGATGAAAAAGAGGAGGATGTTTTGCTCAGGATGTTACATGGACAATAAATTTTATGTGATTGGTGGGAGAAATAATGATGGAGAACTAACCTGCGGTGAATTTTTCGATGAAACCAAAAACAGATGGGAGCTCATTCCCGACATGTTGAAGGACGATCCTGTACAATCATCCCACTCACCGCCACTTCTTGCAGTCGTAAATAACAAACTCTACTCACTTGAGTCTTCTTCCAACCAGCTGAAGGTGTATATTAAGAAGACCAATACATGGAAGGCGCTGGGGCAAGTTCCAGTGAGAGCCGATTGCAACAGAGGTTGGGGAGTCGCATTCAAGTCTCTAGGAGATGAACTGCTCGTGATAGGAGCATCGACTTCTTCATGTACTAGTAATTGGATGGCCATATATACATGTTGCCCAGATTCTGATGCCTGTAAATTACGGTGGAGACCTATTGACAGTGGCAGAAACGGGCTTAGTCACTTCATTTTAAATTGTTGTGTTATGGGAGCTTGAGGAAGGATTCTTAGAGAATTTGAATCCATTTATACTCATTATAAGATTGTCTGTCCTGGATGTGCAAACGTAATATTACTCTACTTGTACTTCATATAAATCCTCCTGTTTTGTTGCCTTTTCTCACTTGATTAATAACTTCTGGTAGTGACTCATTTTATCGTTGAAGTTGCTCATTTTATCGTTGAAAATACGTTCTTATTGCCATTCAGGAAAACAATTTCTCAAAAAAAAAAAAAAAGAAAGAAAAAAGAAAGAAAAAAAAAAGAAAGGAAAACGTGTTTACTATGAAATTCTTTGAAATTTTGGAAAATCTTTTTACCACCACCAACACCATTACTGCCGCCATCAATACCAGTGTCACCACCATCAACAATCAACAACACTGTCACCACCATTAAACATCAACCACTGCTACCACCATCAACACTACTGTCACCACTCTGAACCATAGGCCACTGCCGAAAAGCCCAAATGGAAAAACCACCCTAAATCACCATCAACATCACATTGAAAAACCCAAATTGAAAAATCACGCTGAACCACCATCAACACTAGATCGATAAACGAATAAAACCCCCAAAAGTGAGAGAGAGAAGAAACCACCATCAAGACCCATCACCCATCGCGCTGCTGCGAATTGCCTCTCCCAAACCACAGTCGGCGTCGAAGAGAGAATGGGTCACGCCTCCCCACGCAGTGTCGCGACTCCCCACGAACCCAACCATTCAGCGTCGCGATGAACCCACCTATAGCAGCGTCGCGACGAATGGGTTGCGTCTTCCCATGCTGGCACTAGCACCGGCGCCACCACCATCAACCACTCCGTCGTCGGCGTCGAGAGAGAGAAGGAAGAGACGACCCAAAGGAGAGAATGAAGCAGGAAGTCATAGCCATTGGTTTTTTTCCTCTCTCCTTTTTTGCGCGTTTTGGGTTTTTCTCGTGTTTTGTACAGAAAACATTCAAAATGGCATTTTGGTCGTTTTGTGTTTTCTTCATAAATTTTTCTTTATTTTTGAAAACGCGTTTTCAAAAATGGGGAAGAGAACACATTTTCACCGTTTTGAAAAATCGAAAACAAAAAATGGCACGAAAACGCCAAAGAAAACAGACCCTAACTCTTTCATAATGTCATTGTGTGATATATAGCTATTCAGTGCATCGGTGGAGGAGCAACTGAACAAGGAAGTTTAATTCCAAGTCTACACTAAACACATTATCAATGCAAAATACCTGATTAAAAAAAAATAAAAATTATACGTAAGTGTTAGTTGTAATGTTTATTGCATGATGGAGAATTTAATGATCGTAAACTGACAATTTTGTCACACTATAATAATATTTATTGACATCAAATTCTAGTCATGATCACTTGCACTCTTAACAATCAAATTAGAGTCGTGCAAAAATAAAGAGTGATGATAGTGAGATGTCACATCAAATGAGTTGTCATGTTAAATATTATGTCAACTAACATACAATGGGGAATCCACACGGGTTCATGTGGAGCCTCTGACCCCATAGAATTTCCTAATTTTGTTTTAACATTTTTCCAACTTGTGGTGAGTGACAAATACACATTTGTTTTCGATAGCTTGAATGAACCCCTTGTGTTTGCTTTGGGACTCAACAAAGAAAATAGAAATGCCTCAAAAACAAGCAAATTAAGGTTCGATCCTTACAAAAAACTATAACTTAATTTGATTCTACAATGAAAAATGTCTGATTCTGGCGATGCGAACAAACATCCATATTCGACTCTATATATTTGCTATAACCGGACAGTCAATTACGCTTATGCCCCTAAAACATTAGAAAATTTTGGGTGACAGCCCAATGTTGTTTTGGCCCAAAACATACTGAACTGGAAAATAGGCCCAATTTTTATTTATGACTATAACCACACTGGAACCTCCTCACCTCCTCACTCCATTGTTGAGTGGCTAACTCGCCGAGCGAGTCAACTGCCGAGAAGGAAGCTCCACAGTTTCCACCTCTCACCTGTGAGATTCATATTTTGTTGTAAGATTATTCAATAATTTCGATCCAAAATTTCCAATTATGTAAGTTATAAGCTTTACATGAAATCGTATCGTCTAAGTTTAGGGTTTGTGGTTTTCCATTGTCACAATCTTTATTATGTAATGAGCCGTGGTCAAATTTTGAGATCTTCTCGTAAAAGATTTAAAAAATTCCTGATTTTAGGGTAACGGTTCTTAATTACGTCCTCTTGAGCCTTTCTTTTTGGGTTTCTTATTATGGTTATTAGGTTTTAGGCATTTATATACAGTAGTTAGATCTTTTTTGTTGGTTCCCAATCTATAAGTTCGACCAGTCCCAGTCGGTGGCCTGATGCATATGCTCATTAGGGTTTGTCTGAGGTAATTAATTGTTTAGATTTAGCTATGTCTGCAAATAACAACAATCCACCAAAGAACATTGGGGTTTCATCCCCTTTCGGCAATTCATTGCCAGTGAACCCATCTGCTCAGCAACAAGTCGGATCTGGCTTTCCGGGGCAATTTCAGCTATCTCAGCTCACTGCTCATGCCCAAGCCATTGCTCAAGCTCAGTCTAAGGCACAGGCTCATGCCCAAGCTCAAGTGCAGGCAGCACATGCTCAATTCCAAGCGCAGTTGCAAGCTGCTCATGGACTTTCATTCAATCAAGCACATTCCAGTGGGGCAAATTTGGGTTCTCCATCGCCCTCTGTTTCAGGAGCTGTCAGCGCTAGTGCAAGAAAGTTTATGCAGAAGCCACCTGTTAGGCCGATTGGCTTCTCGCCTCCCAACACGGTTTCTCCTCTGAGGACAATGGATGCTTCAGCTGCTGCCCGCAGGAAGAAGCAAAAGCTTCCAGAGAAGCAGTTACAGGAAAGAGTGGCTGCAATTTTGCCTGAATCTGCTCTTTACACACAGCTCCTTGAGTTTGAGTCCCGTGTGGATGCTGCTCTGACGAGGAAGAAAATTGATATCCAAGAGGCGCTAAAGACTCCATCATACATACAGAAAACTCTGCGGATATATGTATTTAACACTTTTGCTAATCAGATTCGTACTATTCCTAAAAAACCAAATGCAGAGCCACCTACGTGGACCCTTAAAATTGTAGGGAGGATTTTGGAGGACGGGATGGATCCTGACCAAGCTGGCATGATGCAGAAATCTAGCTCCTTATATCCAAGGTTCTCATCTTTTTTCAAGAGAGTTACTATTTCGTTGGACCAGAAACTCTATCCTGATAACCATATGATTATATGGGATAGTGCTCGGTCTCCTGCTTCTCATGAAGGCTTCGAGGTAAAGAGGAAAGGGGATCAAGAATTCACTGCAAATATAAGATTAGAAATGAATTACATGCCTGAGAAGTATAAGCTTTCATCGGCTCTGATGGAAGTCTTGGGTATCGAGGTTGATACTCGTGCAAGAATCATGGCTGCTATTTGGCATTATGTGAAAGCTAGAAAATTGCAGTGTCCAGATGATCCTTCTTCTTTCAATTGTGATCCTCCCCTTCAGAAATTGTTTGGGGAAGGAAAGATCAGATTTACTGCAGTGACACAGAAAATAACACCCCATCTTTTTCCTCCACAACCCATTCATTTAGAGCACAGGATCAAACTATCAGGAAACTGTCCTGCTGGAACTGCATGCTATGATGTTTTAGTTGATGTACCTTTCCCAATTCAGAGGGAATTGAATGCTCTATTGGCCAACACCGAAAAAACAAAAGAGATTGATGCCTGTGATGAAGCAATTTGTACTGCTATAAGAAAGATTCACGAGCACCGTAGAAGAAGGGCATTCTTTCTTGGTTTTAGTCAGTCACCAGTAGAGTTTATTAACACACTGATTGATTCTCAAAACAAGGATCTGAAAGTTGTCTCCGGGGAAGCAATTCGCAATCCAGAAAAAGAGCGCCGATCAGATTTCTACAACCAACCCTGGTATGTTTATAATTAACTCTTTGTTCTCAATTAACTGTTTTTAGCTTACGTTATTGAGCATCTGTTTGGTTCAGATTTTTTAACGGTCATTTTTCCCCAAACGCATTTTCAGCCACATTCTCTTACTTGTCCATAAAATGATTTTGAACGTGGACCCATAATTTTTTTCTACTTTTTAACTATACATTCTACAAAAATAAATAAAAATAAATAATAATAATAATAGATTTTCAAAATCTGTTCTTACTTCAAACAGGCTTTGAGTATCATCATTGTAAAGTGGTTGCGGGAACATATGTAGTTAACTTACTTCGATCAGAATCTAGAACCCTATGTTGGATACAATTACCATATAATATAGGCAAATGGTTCAAACGGGAAGTTGGAGTTGAATGCATGCAATGAATTTCGAAGTAATTTGAGATATTCCTGCTTTGTTAACTGATTTTCAGATGATCAAAACCCTATGTTGCACGGACATTTCACATTTAAGAATATGTATCTAATAAGCCTCGTGCCCCTGTCCTTTTTTTTTTATGGCCCCGTTTGATTCTCATTTTTCTCAAAATGCATTTTTCTCTCTCTTCTTTTCCACTACACATTCTTCATTAAAATAATATTACACACAAACCAAAAGCTTTTCCTTATTTTTCATCCAATCATTGTCCATCAATCTACTATTCTAAAATTCAGTTTTCCATAAAAATGGGTGTCATATATTTTAAATTACCAACACTCAAAGGATATTTAGAGACACCACTCCTACATGTCATGTGCCATGTCCTATTTCGTAAAGATATAGTATATGTATTTAAAAATTTTAAAAATTTGAATCGGGGTGTCCTTGACGTGTCCATGCCCGTCCTTACAGTTTGTTAAAAACCTTATAATGCCCTAGATATTGAGATTTGTTGGTATGTCCGGTTTGTCATGGAAATTGTTATGTATTGTCCATGCTTCTTTTTTTATCTGAATTGAAACTTGTTCGACTTGAATTTCTTTTATTCAATATGCAGGAAATATGTGAGTATTGGTACTTGGTAGGCTTTGTTTTCTACATGAGATATTAGCTGCTGCTGTGTTCTGTTTTAGAGTTAAACTTACTTTCTAGCATTTCCCCATAATAGTGGACTTGTTACTGAAATCATAGTCTCTTCTTGACAGGGTGGAAGATGCTGTGATACGCTATCTGAATCGTAAACAACCTGCAGATGCTCCTGGAAGCACGAGTAGGCAGGAACCCTAAAGCTTCTACGGATATCTGAACTGTAAACTGCCTGCAGATGCTTCTGGAAGCCAAGTAGGCAGAATCCCTAAAGTTGCTAAAGAAAAGTATGTAGTTGTTTCTATCTCTTATTGTTCTTTGAACATCTACACGGCTTTTTCACAACTGGTCTTCTCATTTCCAGTGGTAATGAACTTTGAATCGTTTTAAAAGATAGTATATCTGGTCATCAGCACTGCAGTTTCACTTGCTGTTTCTGGTTGTCAGACAAATATCCATTACAGATTTATCTTTGCCAATGTGCAATAGCAGTTCTGTTGTTTGATTAGGTCAAATGTCGGATCATATGTCGTCAACCTAAACAGAAACAAGATCTTGCGTATTTATTTCATGGATGCTTCGTCTTTGATCTATTTGCTTTTGCACAAAAAATTGATCCCACCTCTCTTTTCTTTCGAATCTGACATGTGCTTAAATTTTGGAACGAAATGTTGATTGCCCTTGAATTTCATTAAATAACCACATTCGGGTTGTACCAAAATAGTACTTTGAGTTGGTGACTTCATTAGCAATCTCATATTGGTCCCTGTTTAGGCTCTATTTTTCATTAAAAAAGAAAAATGCATTTTTAAAAATATAAAAATAATTAATTAATTAATCACATTCTCCTATAAAATAATATTACACTTTCAAAACATATTTCTCCTAAAATTTCATTTTAATGGAGCCCAAACAGATAGTAGACTACCGAGGTCGGTATCTGTAATCTCCATTTAACATATTTTCTTCTGACATATTTGTTATGTTGGACTTGACAAGACGAAATAAGAAACAAGTTAAAATTTTCATGAACTATTTACGAAAGATGTCTTAAGAATATGTGGAAACTTGAGATTACATTTGAGTTAATCTTCCTAAATAATGAGGCAATTATACAAAGTTTAACGAGTCTTTATTTTTTAAGCAAACTTCCATTTGTTAAGGTAATTTGTTAATCGAAAATGTTTTCTTAAGTGCTTAACTTATGTTAAGTATTGATGACATGGCACGTCATTTAATTAGTGAATAAATTAATGGTAAGTTCCATTTAATGATTCACCAATTAAATGATATGATTCACCAATTAAATGATATGATATATTATCGATGCTTAATATAAGCTAAGTATTGATACTTAGAGGATCATTTCTCAATCTGTTAATAGCGCATCATATCAATCCTTTATTTTTTGGTAGTTGATCGATGTCTATATTTGTCAATCATTCAAACAGCTCAGAGTCCCGAAAATTATTTCAAGAACAAAACATTAATACTTTTACACGCATAAAATTTCTGAAGAAAACAATAAATTACATGTTGACATCATTCAAACTTTCAAAGCAAGTTGAATGCATCCATTCTTCTCAAAAATTGGAGATGGGAAAAAAAGATAACACAGTCAGGACAGTGCAGGATGGTGGATCAGTATTCTGCCTCGACTGCTTTGTCTACAGACTTGAATGCCCAACCCGGACATGAACCCGATGCCATGAGGTGTTCAGTATCCCTCTCAAGTTCCAAATGACTTCTACATTTTCAGGTTGTACATTTGCAGCAGCGTCCACCTGCAATGACAGTAAAAAGTTGTACCATAGTCATCAGATTTAAGGAAAAAACAGTGAAACTCGGCAAAACTTCTTTTATGTACTAAAAATAATTTCCAATAACGAGGGACGACAAAAATGCCAACTCTATCTTCAAGTATCCGTAAGAGCATATTTGGCTAAGCATAAAAAATGTGTAGAAGATAGATTTAAGTGGATTTTGTTTCCAAACATCTTCGGATAACTTTGTTTGAAGTAAAATAATAATAAATATACTGAATGTAGCTCTTGCTGTGTATCAACATAATTTCAACTTTCACCAATTAAAAAAGTTATTATTGCAAAATTTATAGCTGCATGTGCAACTCGCTGATTCTCGTAAGAATATATAATATACCGCTTTAGCAACAATCTCAGCACTCTCTGGGATATCAGCCTCTGCCTCAAAAAGCACCCATGCCCATTTGTCACTGCTTATATCGTCAGAAACGTAAGGAATGCCAGCTTTCTGAAATCTGGAGGCTTCCACCCAGGTTTTCCCACCATCGATGGACACATCTACTCTCTCTATGCCACGTCCACCTCCTGATACTGCATAACCCTTGATAGTTACCTGACAATTGACACAAAGTATATAATATATCATAATGTAACTTCAGCCGCAAGACTATTCGATTAAGCAAATACAGCAACAAACTATGCCTCATTCCCAAGAAATTTGGGGTGGGCCACATGAATCTCTCTCTGCCATTCTGCTATGTTCATTGCTTAGAAAATCTGTTCTGGGATTAAATCCATACTCTCGAAGCAAGAAGTAATTGCATAGCTACACACCGGTGCCCAAATTGTTCACAAGTTTGGAAATTTGCAAGTTAAAGAATAACGAAAAATCAATCCATAGAAATATTTCAGAGCATCACAACATAAACGGTATAAGCCACAGAGGCACATGAACTGCTCCATTCATTAGCTATTAATTATCTTGTACTACAAATTAACATGGATTTTAAGGAATAAAATAGTTAATGCTCTCAACAAAACATTTCATTTTTTATGTATAACCAATGGCCAAGAATCCCATGGAGTCGGCCAATCACTTTAAAGTAAGCAAATTATTAAAAGAGCAAATAATGAATTTGCAAAAAGGTAATCATTTTGGACATTACAAACGAAACAAGAACATTCAAATGTGCATTCTCATGCATTTACAGATCTTTATGAACTCTGAATTTTAAAAACGCACTCTGGCCAAATTGTTGTGCACACAAATCTATTTTCCATCAAGTTCACCAAACTTCGAGTCTATCTAAAGTGCAGTACTCCAAAGCAGCTAAAACAAAATTCACCTAAAGAGTTCTAGGCATTATTCTCTCATTTTGGATTCTTGAATTTAGATTCACATGAATATCAAAGGGTTGGATGCATAAATGAAAACATTGTACCAGAAAAGCATCATAGTCAGTCTACCACCAACTATTTGGATACCTGACACAATGTGAGTATCCTTTGCTACTGTGATTCTCCAGCGAAAGCATATACTCTCAGTAGAATCAATTGATTTAATAGTTCAGCAACCTTTTATAGGTTCCAATTTTCTGCAGAAATACCAAATTCTTTGACCAAAGTAACATTTACCTCTGTGCACTCCCACTCTTATTACACAGTTTGTGACTGCTCATATTTTAATCTACAGAACTATAGCAAGTCTTCCATGAATAGGATTGATAGTATCTCAAGGATCTCCATCATATGGTCACTAACAGATTGGGTACCTTGACATAGGCGAACAAAGTCATTGAATTTTTGTTACTAGTGAAAGTTAAGAAGTATTTATATCTGAAGACTTCAAAATACAATTCCAATTATCTGAGTCATGTCTTTGACTTATTAAATTATGTCCCATAGATGACAGACACTACCTCTAAGCATGAAGGTAGCACAGTTGACTTTATTCTCTTTGGGAATTTAAAGTATGAAAAGCTCCATTCTATGATTCTAATCCAATTTTCAGTTTGAATAAGGTCCGTTGCATCTTCAAATATGGGGGGATTTAGACATGGAAAGCGTTCTCAACTTTGCCCTATTTCTGGCCTGGATTTAATTTGGGTTGGGCTTTTACGTTGATTTAATTTTTGTTCAACTAGTCATCATTTGTATCAATCCATCCTTATCTCCTTTTGGCATTAGCTAAAAATAGCTTCAATGGTCATTATGGTTTTTAAGCATACATACTTATCTTTTAGGTAATCATACCACTTCTCATTGTATTTAAACCAACGATGTAATACATATACCTATCAATTTGGAAAGCGTCAAATATTGATAGACACCTAATTTCAAGGAAGAATCAAAAAATCTAGCATCTATACCAATTTCTAAAAGTTATCTGAATTAAGTTTCGACTACCACATTATGTTAGTAATGGTACCAATCATTTAGAATATTTAGGCGTACAGTCTAAAGGGGTTTGTGAATCATTCAATTTTGGTACCCCCTACCTAAACTTTCAACATAATAGCCCTAGTCAACCCCAACTTGGTTACCTTAGCCCTGATTTTCCTCGAAATTTGCACATGCTTATTGCTACTACATGCACTTCTGTCGCACTACTCTGATTGCAGTTATCATTAAGCTAGATTCATATGTTACCATAACTGTTGAACCTACAGGTAAACTGATTTGGTTAGCTTATCTAACAATCAGTCTTTCTCCTCTCTAGATACGATTTAAATATATTAGAAATTATGAGTATACAAATTTGTCTTCATAGTAAGTATCCCAACTATAGGGGAAATGTACTCTACACAAATAAGGTAAGTATATAAGGATTGTAGTGTGGTTACCTTCATATGAGTATTTGTATGCCCAAATATCAATGCCCATACTTGTTTCTGAAACTGCTAACTTAAATTATTTAATTGAGGATGCAATCAATACACAGTATATATAATGGTACCAAATTATTAGAAGGTCTAAGGGAAAAGCTACCTATGCAATTGGTACACATACCCTTAACTTAGGAGGAGACTATTTGGGCCTATAAAAGGATTTGACATTCCATTCCCTCTTTCTTTTCTCTCTCTTCGTTCTTTCATATTAAGCTCAATTTTTAGTAGTACTACTAAGATTCTACCATTCTATATCTATTGGGAAGCAATCACACGTGGAGAACAATCCTAGGACCTGTGTGTTATGGTCAACAACGCCACATTTGGGAAGCAATCACACGTGGAGAACAATCCTAGGACCTGTGTGTGATAGTCAACAATGCTTCCATGTGCGTTCTCTAGGATTCTTTTTCTAGTTGTTGAACGATTATTTTAGATCTTCTGATTTTTTAAATTCTCATAGGTTGGTCTAGACAATAGGATCATTTTGCCATTTTATTATCCTTTCCATTTCTAGTTCTGATTCTAGTCTTAGAATCATTTTGGTACTGCTGGGTTTTGGTTATGGCACTACTACCGCTCTAACGGGGTAATGCTACTACTACCATGAATGACTTACATTTCTGCTGTTGCTTTTGCTACATTAACATTTATTCCTAGTTCTTTCATTTTTGTTGCAACTTAATAGTTTCTTATGTTTTCATGCCTCATATATAGAATGTCTAGGTCTTGTCTGTTTTAATTCAAAGAAAATAATTACAACATAATCATAGAATTTAAAACACGACGTACTTGGACAGCTCGGCTAGTCTTTGTGACGCTTGGATTTTATTGGATAGTCTACAAGACTCATAACGTGCTTTGATACCACAACACCCCTTTTCTAAATTTTTATATTTATAATGTACCTCTTTATCCAAGGAAACTTCTCTTTTCCCTTTTGTAAAACAATGTTGACGTAATGACTCGTGGGTATGGGTACTACTTCACTAACTTTGTTACCTAAAAGAATTGGGTAGATGTACGCACAGACTGATAGGAGTACCATGATATTGGATACCTTTATGAACTCTGGGCATAATGATACATTAACTTAAAATCCATTTTGGTGCTATTATACAAAAAATGATGCAAAAAAATTTTAGGTCAAACTGTAGTAGATAGAAGTCTTACTTTTTATTTCATCGCAAATACGGTAATTTCATAACATAATTGTCATCCTTTCGAAAGAGAGAATTGGAAGATTATTACGTAGAACAAAAAGACTTTATTTCTCCTACACATGAAGTAACACCCCAAAAATTCGTTATAGTCGTTAATATTAGAAGTTGGGACCTTATAGTGAGGAGTTGAATATCTAAGGACCAAATTGTTTGATTTATAAAATTTAGGGATCAAATCGTTATATATATATATATGGTAATTACCATAATTATATATATGTATATATGTTAAATGTGCAAGATTATAGAAAGAATGATCATAAATGCCATAAATATGGAGCCAATGAGGGAAAATTCCATTTTCATATAAAGAAAGATTCCATTTTCACACATACACACGGCATTTTCACACATACACACGGCATTCACCTTTTTCACACACCAAAAGTCATTTCATTTGTCCTACACACAAGAACTCATAAGTGGGCTCCTAGAAGTTGAATACTTCACACTCATTTTATCAATTCCATTCAAGTTACGAGTTAAGTGATGTTGCATGTGATTTATGTGAATTTGTATTTTGTACTTTAAATTTTGGAATTCGTTTTATGGGCCATATATGTTTATGATACAAGGGCCGGAGTTTGATAGCGCTACACACAAGAATTATTATCACCTACATTCGGAGTATTTCATGTGTCTCCTATATGTATGATATGAAATCCCGTTTTCCATAATTTAAATGCAAATTACTTGTTCACTACACACACTTATTGAGATTTTCTTAAATCTCACCCTTTAAATTTTTCCCCCTTTTAGGTAATTAGAGATCGGGAGTTTGGAGCTGAAAATTGTTTGATGGTGGAGGAATCTTTTTATTTCATCACTGTTCATGACGTGAACAGTGATTCCTTAAAAAAAAAAAATCTGCCATAATTTTGAGAATTATGGACCATTTTTCTAAATTCAGTTATTCCAACTTTTGAAATATTTAAACCCCAAGGAGTTGCCATGTTTATTTGATTTTATAAAAAATAATTTAAAAAAAGTCACTGTTTTACCCAAAAAAAAAAAATAATAATAATAATAATAAAATAAATATTTCCATCACTGTTCATGACGTGAACAATGATCTCGAGTCACTGTTCTTTTGAACAAAAAAAATTTCCATCACTGTTCATGACATGGACAGTGACCGAAGTTGCCGTTCATGACGTGAATTCCTTTAAAATAAATAAATAAAACAAGTTCGAGTTTTAATATGAATGCCATCACACGATGCCAGGTTCTAAGCTCCGATGCTATCGAATGAGGTAGAAAGATACGTATAAATTACATTTCATATGATGAGGATTATGTTATGATCATGCTTAACATGTTATATTTTTAGTTCTGTGTTCAAAGTTTGCAATTTATGAGGGATTATAAGTCAATTAACGATTATGTGGACAAATATGTACTAAATTACAAGTAAATTAGAACTTGATTTGTTTATGAAATGTGTGCTTGTTTACATACAAACTTTTCTTTATATGTGCCTAAATTTTTAGTGCAATTGTATG